TTTTGTTGTCAAAAAACACTTCCATCAGATCCCTTAACCCACCCTCCAAACAAAAGTATTGCTACAGTTGCTCCCCAAATATAGGGAGCGACTGTTCATCCCCAAAAATATAAAATTATTTTTTATTCAACCTTGAGCATCTCCATGCCCAAAAATATAAAATATAAAATAATTAAAAAATAATATTTTATTAGAATAGAGAAAGAATAATAGATAAAAAAATGATTCTTAAAATAAGAAATGAAATTTTTAATAATATTTTAAAATAAATTCTTATTTTATTTCATTTTGAAGGCGCGCCCGGACGTCCCCGGACGTCCACCCTGTTTATTTTCTTTAGCCGCAGAGGCCGTCTTGCATGTTGTGCTCTTACTTTCTTATTTTATTATTTTATTATTAAAAAAATATTTAAATTTAAAAGTAATAAAAAATATTATTTTAATAGAATAGAGAAAAAATAAAGAATTTGTTGAAAAAGTAAATGAAAAACTGATTCCTAAAAATAAGGAATAAATTTTTTAATAATATTTTAGGTTGAAATTTAGGTAAACTGGTGGAGATGCTCTAATAAAACTTCTAAATTCCATCCTTACTTATTTTAAGGGATTAGTGGCTCCCTATACCCTTCCATTGCAGCCCTTAAACACCTCTCTAAAATAGGAATTGCTACAATAATCCTTTATTTGTTGGGAGTCACTGTAGCTCCTTATAATTATTTATTTATTTATTTTGTTGCTTTGTTTTGTTTAGGGACTGCAGTATACATTTATGATTTTTATTTTTTTAAAATTTATAATTAAAAATTATATTTTAATAAAATAGAAAAAAAAAGGGAGTTTGTTAATAGAATAGGGAAATAATAGGAAGTCTGTTGGGAGAAATAAATGAAAAAGTGATTCTTAAAATAGAGAATGAATTTTTTAATAATATTTCAAGGTAAAATTTAGGTAATCTGATAGGGATGCTCTAATACTTGTTAGTTAAAAGGCTTAATATAACTCGCTTTTTTCAATTTCAATGCACTAAGGGTATGATTAGGCAATTTAACTCAACTCACAATTACTAGCTACATGTAGCTAATCTTTAAAAACTAGGCAAAATGTATTTAATCATTTGAATCATAAAAAAAGATTGGGAGATCTAAATTAAGAGCTCTAATAGCTCTAATTGGTGTGTGGGTCCCGTGTGGTGTGATGTTTTGGTCTTGATTTTTTTTTTTTTTGATTTTCCACATCATTAGCGCTCTTTTAGAGCTCCTAAATTAGAGGGATATATCATTTCTGTAAAGAGTATGGTTAGAGTAGAAACATGAAACAATTGATAGACAAAATAAAATGTATACTTTATAGTAATGTTTAGATAGATAAAATTCCTATTAGCGTTAGAGATGCTCTAAGAGATGATTAGTCCCTAAAAGAGAGTTGAATTAAGAGATAAACATTTGGTACTTAACAAAAGTAGAGAGGCTCTTATATATGCTAATCAAACAGTTAATAACTGATATTCGCCGATTATAAAAAAAAAGAAGCCTAAGAGTACTATCAAATATCAATGACACAATGGGGAAAATTACTAGCCAGTCTGTAAATATCTATTAGTTTTGTATATTTTTTGAGGTCTGGGAATTTTAATTTTTAGTTAAAAAAATTAAAAAGAAGTTATTATAAGTTGTCAAATTATTTTTTTAATTTCTTTACATATTTTTTTATAAAAAATTAAAAATTATTAAAAAAAATCAATTCCTAATACACCCGCGAATGCCGAGTTCTTTCGATGCTTATGCTGCTCTCATTAAATTTCTAAGTCATCAAAATTTTTTCTTTTCTAGTCAGACTCGTAAGTAAATAAGCTGTATATGCTGCAATGATTTAATTGATGAAAAACAAATGAGGTCGCTCAAGAGATTATGCTGTAGCTACATTTTATGGTTCTAATAAAACCAAAGCCTATGACAATGACGCCATAGCTCCTACTATAAGAAAGTGTATTGGGGTTGTTTGGAATAACTTAAATAAATATATTTTTTATCTTTTTATAAAAAGATATGCAGAAAAATAGAGAGGTGATGTGATAGAAAAAAGATAAAAAGATAGATTATTTCTCATATACCAAACTTGACCTAAATTCACAAAAAGACAACATTGATTTACAAATTGACTTGTCATAAGAACTTTAATATGTACAAGTCACGAGTGCGAGTTCTTTGATTATAAATTTTTTTGACTAAAATTCACCTTTCAAAATCTACTTCTAAGGGAGAGTGTTTAAGAGACTATATTTACGTAATCAAGCTTTGCTACGGTTATAATATAGTGGCTCTGTTTGGTAAGATTTATTTTCAGCTTATTTTACTTTTTAGTTTAATTTAAGCTATTTTGATGTGTTTGATTCAGCTTAACAATACAGCTTATAGCTTTTTGTAAGTCAAAAATCAACTTATTTTTTAAGTAGGGGAGGAGAAACTTAATTTATAAGTAAAAAATCAGCTTATGTTCACAGGTATAAGTTATAAGCTGTTAGGGTATAAGTTATAATCACTTTCCCACAGCTCTACCAAACGGGGCCAGTACCATGCTCTTCGCTAATGTTAACAATGGCTTATTTTATTGACACCTCAATAATAATCTTTTAACTTTTAACAAATTTACTCATCTATTGATATTCAAAAATATTTTTATTTTTTAGTTTATAAGTCGCCCCTTTCGTGACTAGAATGACAAATTGCACCAATTCAATTTCATAATCGCACAAGTTGCACCGGATTTCATGTACGATGTCATAGTTAGTTCTAATAGCAAATAATACAAGCACCTGGTGTAGGAGTTATTAAAATTTGACTAGCAAAAGAAAGAATATTCAGAAAAATTATTTTCATTATAATAGGATCACCCTGAGAATTTAAGTCGAATGATCATTCATTATGTATTAAATGAAAAGACTCAAGTAAATAAAAATTAGATCGATTTAATTGGGACATCTACAAGTAGAAGGTGAGATTAATTCTCTAAATTAGTCAGTGTAGACAGTAAAATTGATCTCTTAAATTAGTCGATTCAATAACCTGAATATCGATTTACCGAAAATAAAAATTAAAAGGGTTGGTAACCCCCACAAGGAGTCACGTGGTGACACCTGTTTTTTTTTTTGTTTTTTTTATTTTCAACCTAGCCATCAATAGAGACCCTTCAACTATACCCCATTTTCATTTTTAGAAAATCATCAGACATTTCACCGACCACTTCTCTCTCTCTCTCAGAGTCAACATTTTCTCTCTCTAAAAGTCTATTTCTTTCTAACACAGGAATGCACTAACCAACACTGCAGAAAAATGGATTAGATTGTGGACCAAGGTGTATGCCCACTTGCATCTATTCTTGCCAATTTTTATTTATTAGGTTTTTCAATAATGCAGCATTGTGTAATTTGAACATAACATTTAGCTCCCGTTTGATAATTAGCTATTTTAATTGATTTTTTAATTTTTGTTATTATAAAAATATATATAAAAAATAAATAAAATGATGTAATAACTTGTAGCTGTTTGACAACAAATCTAACTCCCCATATATGTTAAATTATCAATATAAATTAGTTTAATAATTCTTACATTTAATAACTTTCATCAATACGTTAGTAATATATTAGATTGTATTTTTAAATTACAAGTTGATTTTGATTGCCACATTATAATTGATAGATTATACATATATTTGTATATAAGACTAATGTAAACATTTGCCCTTTTCTTAATAGAAAAATTTGATTCTTAGGTTATTTGTATACAATTTTTTTTTTATATACTAAATTAATAAAACAATAAGATTTTTGTAATTAAAACACATTTTCAAAACACTGTATATCAATTCAAGCACACTTGAATTGAATTCATATCTTAAAGCTTCTAGACTTTTCTATTACATAACATTTGAGATTATTTTATTTTATTTTATTTTCAGTTATTACATGTAAAATTTCTATCCCTACCACATAACTCTTTGTCATTAATAATGCGACCATCAAATTGTATGCCTCCGTTTGGGAAGTGGGTTGGCTTTTTGGCTTTTTTGGCTATTTTAGCCTGGGCTAAAAAGCTTGATTTGGGAAGAACTTTTTGGCTTTTTGGCTTTTTTGACTTTTTTTGTGAGAGAAGAGTGTAATGATTATGGGTTGGATGTGATGTTTTGTTTGTTGTGGCTAAAATAGCCTATTTTGTCTTTTATGGCTATTTTAGCCCCAATCTTGCTTGCCAAACGAACCCGTATATAACCTTTTATTCGTTATACTAATAACAAATATACATATATTATTTAACAAGTACGATGATAATATATTAGATGATAAATAAAATATAATATATTAATATAATGATCATAATATTATTAACAACAATGATTCATCTCACTAAAAATATCACCACTAATAGTACTTATTTAACAAGTACGATGATAATATATTAGATGATAAATAAAATATAATATATTAATATAATGATCATAATATTATTAACAACAATGATTCATCCCATTAAAAATATCACCACTAATAGTACTAATGCATTAAAAAAGTAAAAAAAAAAAAAATACAACTCCAAGACCAAAACATCACATCATTAATGGCAGGACCCACTGCTACCTAATTAGTGGAAGCAATAATTAGTGCTCTCAAGCATTTTTCTATTATTAATTGTTCTTATAATTTGACACGAAGATTTATGTGCAAATAAATTTATTCATAAGAATAAAATGCAAAATTTAATTAGTTTAAAATCATAAATTATAAATTTTAAAAATATATTAATCTCATTTTAACTTGTAAATTAATATTTTAAATCAAACACAATTATTGTAGTGTTGACACATTTTGACAATCTGAATACTCAGATTTAGGCACTTTTTACACCAAAACACAAGGCACTATCGACGGTGTTAAGAGCATCCACTTGTCACCCTCTCAGCTTCACCTTAGTGCCGAAGTATCTCTCCTTATATATAAAGATTTTGTGTACATGGAATGAAGAGAATGATAGTTCTGTGAAGGAAAACCTAACTTGTTCTTCAATTCCATGTCTCACTTTCACATACCCAATCAAAACTATCTCAAACTTTCACAGATAGATTGATTGATAAAGAGAGATAATCTTAGAGTGTTTGTCCCAAACAAAGCCAAGGGTTTGAATGATCTTCAACATATATAGTGAGATTTTTTTGTGTGTGTTTTGGTTGTGATTCTGGAGATGGGTTTGAGTACAAAACAGGTTTCAGGAGATGGGTTTGATTGGGGACATAGCCTTTTACAGTCTGATAATTCTTTAGAGCTTGTGCCTAAACCTCCTCCTCCTCCTCCTCCGGCCACCGCGGCGGGGCGGCAACCACCGCAACAACCACCACCAGAGCCATTACCATGTCCAAGATGTGGCTCTAGCAACACAAAGTTTTGCTATTACAACAATTACAACAAGTCTCAGCCTCGCCATTTTTGCAAAGCTTGTAAGAGGCACTGGACTAAAGGTGGAACTCTACGGAATGTTCCGGTTGGCGGTGGCCGCAAAAACAAGCGGCTCAAAACTGCCACTGCCACCGCCACCGCTAGCGGCACCACCACCACTAGTAGGAGTAATAATTCCCACATGGGAATTCATCAAAAGAACATATCTGAATTTCTTTACCAGGGTTTGACACATGAGTACTCCATGAATGATGACTTTTTGAGCTCTTTTGAGAGCAACCCATCTTCAATCTCAGCCTCTTTTCGGTGTTCGGATGCTTATGACTACACTGGAGGGTTGGATTTTGCTATCACCACCGCCACCACCTCTGCCCCCGCTACCAGCAGTGGTTCTCAGCCATGGCAAGTTGTTCCAACCACCACACGTGGTGGTGGTGATGGTGGTGTTATGGACACGTCAAACTACTGGAATTGGGATGATTTTGAATCATTGGTTTCATCAACTGAGATCAATATACCTTGGGAAGATGATGATACTAAGATTAAACCCTAAAGAGAATTATTTATTAGTATCAGGGTGTATAGATAGAGAGATTAGTTGTGTGAATTGGTGTCTTTTCTTTGGTGGGTTGTCCCCTTTATTTTATTTTATTTTATTTTTTTTGAGTTTTTTTTTTCTTAGGTGTTGAATTCTGATATATCCCATAGAATAATGTTAGAGGTTGCAAAAATTTTATTAAATTTTTTATCAAATATTTTATATGAGTATAAAATTCATATGAAAGTCAATATAAATTTCATACTCATATGAAATATTTGATAAAAAATTTAATAGAACTTTTAAAATTTTTAACATTTTTATATCCAATATATGTATCTATGTCTTTCACATGTAATTGTAACTATTATAGTGAGAGATGTGTACTGTTTGAAGCTGCCCCTTTTAGTTTCGGCTTCAAACCTATGGTGTTCATTTATGCTCTCTCTCTCTCTCTCTCTCTCCCTCTCCCTCTCCTTGTTTCATCTGGATGCAGGAATATATTTGTTTCATTTTGATGCAGGAATATATATAGGTTGGTTAGGGTCACTAGTGAATTTGATAGAATTCGTATAACTTCACTCTGTAGTTTACGGGTAGAAGTATAAAAATATCCTGTGGTTCGTGAACTGTTCAAAATTTACCTGTGGCTTGGGATTGGCTTAGCTCGATTAGGTCAGGTAACTTGGGCCAAGGCTTGGACTATCATTTTGAAGTCCGGTCTGACTTGTGAGCCCGACCCGCTCAAAGCCTTACTCGAGACTGGCCTACTAGAGACTTATTGTTATTTTTTATGAAAAAAACTAAAATTTTGGTGAAAAAAATAGAAAAATGTTGAAATCCTGTCCAAGCCTGAGCTCAGGCCTACCGGCTCGGCCTCCGAATGCCCCTGGGTCTGGCTCTAAATTTTTGGCCAGTCAGGCAGCCCAGTTCACATTTTGGCAGGAGCCCATGAGTCCGGATATGGGTCGGCCCAAGTCCAAACCCGACCCGAGTGGGCCGGCCCAACTCGACCAAATTTATACCCCTATTTACAAGCAATTGGATATATATATATATATATATATATCTATATTATATTAAAATTAGTGTTTTTCTTATATTTAGGTGACACAATATAAAGGCTTACTCTTTTTTTTTTTCTTTTTCTTTTTTTTTTAAGAGAGTTACGTCATCATATATTTTCTTAATTATATACAATTCTATACAAATTCAAACCTAATTTAAATTATACTAACTTTACCTATTTTATATGTATGCTATTTGATAAATATTTATTTTTCATATATTTTTCATTGTAAATTTAGATGATACATGAACCCAATACCAATTTTGCATTTCACGGTTTTTTTTTTTTTAATTCTTTCAAGAGTATTAGGATTTTTTTAATGCTAAATTGTTTTTTTTCTTCTTCTTATTTTCCTGTGCATTATTCTATACCCAATGTCAATTCTATATTATAAATTTGTCATTTAAATTTTATAGGGATCCTATATATGAAATTATATTTGTTTTTCTACATTATATAATCACAATTCATAAGAAGAAAAACCTATACAATAATAATATTCTCAAAGAACCTCTAAAATTTGGATTTACTGAGTTAATTTTTCTATTGTTGAACATTAAGTTTTTTTATGCTTTGATATTATATCACAGATGATTAATCAATTCACACACTAAGAAGTATATATCATTTGAATGTTTTTATTATTTTTTCTTTTTAGGTTTAGATGTGTGATTCTTTCTTGGTTTGGTTAGTCATTGTTGAATTTCTTTTATATAGTTGATATTTTAATTTAATTAGGAGTGTTAATTTTATAATTTTATAATTTAATATATATATATATATATATATAATATAAAATTATATGATAATCCAATTACAACATATTTATATTTAATTTTTTTAATAAATTTTATATAATTTCTATTTCTACATATTTTTATTTTTCAAATGAATATAAAAGAAAATTAAATAGTTAGAATTACTTTTAATTTTATGTTACTAATTCTTCTTCTAATTTAATAGATCAAAGTAGAGTTTGATTCATACTAGAGAGACTAAGCCTCCGTTTGGGAAGTGGGTTGACTTTTTGGCTTTTTGACTTTTTTGGCTATTTTAGCTTGGGTTAAAAAGCTTGGTTTACAAAATATCTCAATCATTCATCAGTTTGACAAATTTCTATGCATCATTAGTAATACCGAATGCACTGAATTCTGCTACAAAAAAAAAAAGGAAAAAAGAAAGAAAAAAAAAACAGTTTCCAAAAATGAAAATTAGGGACTTTAGGGGCAAAGTTTTTAGGGCCACCAATCATTTTCCTTATTAATTGTATCAAAGATATTGACTTTGTTTAGGGTTCAGATCCACACAATTAAATGACTTGAATTGATATGTAATAATGCGAGTGTTTGGAAAGTTGTTATATATACATGGGTGGGTGATTACTGACCTTTTACTAATAACCGTAAGTGATGACTCACCCACCCCCCTAGACCTTGCCGTAAAGATGGATTCACTTCATCTTCTTAGCAATATTTGTAAATCCTCTCAATTAAAAACAAATTTTCGTAATTAATTATTACTTGATTTTAACTAAATCTATACATCCCAATTTTCTCATATTAATTAGTGATTAATTTAATTCCTAAATAATTCTCTTCATCATATATTTGATAATTACAATAACAAATTAATTTATATAGCACGTATAGCTTAGTTATTTTATTATTATTGTTCTTCTTATTATTATTATTATTATTATTATTATTATTATTATTATTATTATTATTATTATTTTGCCTTCATCTTACATTGACTCTAGTTAATTGTATAATAAATTAAATTATTTTATTTTACTATCACTCCCACTAGTATTTTTAATATTATCATGATGGGTTGTGGTGTTAATTAAATATTTAGAGCGTCACAAAAAGTAAAATAATTATGAATTTAATATGATATTTTGTTTTATCAACTATTTTAATCTATTTTATCTTTTTATAAAGTTTAGCCAAAAAAAACTAAAATCCAACTTGCCAAACACGCCCAATGTCACATGAAATAATTTTCATAACATTCTTTGATTGGACTATTCAGTTTAACTTGCAAGACTCAAAATGCCTCTTGTATTTTTTAGAAGAATAGTGCTTCTCTCTCCTGTTTTTATTTGTGGATTGGATAGGGTTTAATCCAAGTCCCATTGTATATCCGTCAAGATTGATTTAATAATTATAATTATATTTTTTTAAACAAATGAATAGTAAAAATAATTTTAAAAATAAATTATTTATTCTTTTTGAAGATAAATGTAAACAAATAATATGATAATGATTATTGAATTATTCTAATTTTTTTAACGAACAATCTATGTTTAAGATCCTATAAAATAAATGTATTAAATCATCGGAGAGGGGCACCATGTTGGGCCCCAAAAGCCCAATTAGATTATGTAGTCTACATTCGCGAACTGGAAGCTTATTCATGCAGAAATCTCTAGCGGATTGATTGCACCTGTACAATCTAAGCATGTTGAGTTTCATTTTAATAATTAAATTTTTTTATTTAATAATTTTTTTTTTTATGTATAGTTCATCCTTTTATATATATAAATTGTAAAATAAATGTATAAAAGAAATAGAGAATTGTATTATTGAATAATGATATTTTTACATTTTAATTAATACAAGTAAACTCCACACTAATAAAATATAAAATCTTATTTTTTCAGCCATCTAACTTACTTTTTGAAAGCAACACTTAAATGTTAAAAACATATATATATTTTTACATTTTAATTAATACAAGTAAACTCCACACTAATAAAATATAAAATCTTATTTTTTCAGCCATCTAGCTTACTTTTTGAAAGCAACACTTAAATGTTAAATTCCCAATAGAGAAATGAGGCTTTTTAAAAATATATATAAATATTGATAAATCTCAATTTCGAATGATCAGATTGATAACAGTCAGGTTTATAGTGCACGACGAGATCGAATTAATTTATAGTTTTAAAGATGAAGATAGCTTTATTTAGTTATTAATAAAAATTACAAGTCTACCTACAGAAAAAGTTTATATCAGAGAAATAGAGAATTATATTATTGAATAATGTATGCTTGTTGTGTATCTTCATTTACAAGAGAATTAGGTCTCTCTATTTATAGAGAGGAGAAAGATACAATGGAGTACGAAGGCATAAGGTAAGATATTACAATAATATAAAAGTGTAATCTAAAGCTTTGCTGGTAGTGGGTGTTGGCCTCCTTTACACCTTTGCTGGTTCCTAATGCACATGTACATTACAGCTCCTAATGCACATGTACAGCTATGAAAGTATAAGGTATATTATATGTTAACAGCCCCCCTCAAACTCAAGGAGGATAGGTACTAGCCAACTTGAGTTTGGAGAGAGTAACAAAACAGAAAGATAAGCTGACAAATAAAATTAAAAATGGGATAGGAGACACTGTATGGTCGTGTCGGACCGTTGTAGCAGACAGTTTACGGGGTCATGTCGGACCGTGGTAGCAGACAGTTTACGGGGTCATGTCGGACCGATGTAGCAGGACACTGTGTGGTCGTGTCAGACCGATGTAGAAGACAGTTTATGGGGTCGTGTCGGACCGTTGTAGCAGACAGTTTATGGGATCATGTCGGACCGATGTAGCAGACACTGTGTGGTCGTGTCAGACCGTTGTAGAAGACAGTTTATGGGGTCATGTTGGACCGTTGTAGCAGACAGTTTACGAGGTCATGTCGGACCGTCGTAGCAGACAGTTTACGAGGTCATGTCGGACCGATGTAGAAGCTGTGGTGGTGCACCGAGGAGGCGATGTAGCAGGACAGTTTACGGGGTCATATCGGACCAGTGTAGAAGACAGTTTACGGGGTCATGTCGGACCGTTGTAGCCGGACAGTTTACGAGGTCATGTCGGACCGTTGTAGAAGCTGTGGTGGGGCACCGAGGAGGCGACTTAGGGAGTGCGCCATGAGCGACTTATACATGATACTGTGTATAACCCCCCCTCAAACTCAAATAGGTGTGAAGATAGAAACCTATTTGAGGTTGAAACAAAGGGATTGATAAAGCGGACCGGTGTAGAAGACACTGTATGAGTGTGTATATAGGCTGCCCAAAAAATATACATGTAGATAGATATCGAGCCCTCAAAAGTCGTGCCCTCAAAAGGTGTGCCCAATTTGTCAAAAGGCGTGCCATCAAAAGACGTGTCATCAAAAGGCGTGCCCGATGCATCAAAAGGCGTGCCAGATATGATGGCGAGGCACGTGAGTGCCTTGGCTGGCGTGCCCGTTTGTCTGGCGTCAAGAGGCGCGCGATGCGCGTGGCTGCCTCGGCTATTTAACCAAGACGAAGGCTGAGGCCGAGGCCGAGGCAGAGGCGGAGACAAAAAACTCTGTAACACTCTGTT